CGGACTTTCCTTTTGCGCTTCTAGAACTTTCTGCAATCTCTCCCCTCTGCATGCAACTTCTTTTTCTCTTCTACTTCTTGCCGCCTAGCGGCCAACAACCTGGGATTTAATTCAGACCTTTTTTCCTCCAGCATCAGATTTCGTTCAACAGCATCTGTGACAGTGGCCAACTTGGCGATGAACGTAGCTCGTTCTTCATCAGTTTTCTTTAATGGCTCGCTGGAGTAGTAATACCAGCTGCCCCAGTCCAGCGGTTCAACGTGAAGGCGGGTCGTTGTGCTGCTTTCGGGTATATCTTGGCGACGTCTCTGCAGTGTTTGTTCTTCCTCCTGTTCTTCTACTTCACTTTCTTCGATACTCTTCAACTCCTCTTCCAGTTCTCTCTCCATCTTCTCTTTCATCTTCTTTCTTGCTTCTTCTTCTTTCTGTTTTTTCTTTGCTTCTTTCTCCTTTTTCTTATCTGCCAGCCTGCGGTCTAGTTCTGCCTGCTCCGCAGGTGTAGGGCGAGGCTTCACTGTTCCAGACCGCATCAGCATGCGGGACGTGCACACACCCCCGAACTCCAGTGGGAACATAAGCCGGAACAGCGGCCCCAACAAGACAGAAAGGGCCAACAGGCCCAGGATGGGATAGTCATCCATGATGACTACCGGCACAGGAAACCCTCCGCCGGGTCACCAAGGTACTATCCCACTCAACTTACTTAGTATCTGTGGCAATGGAGTTCTGCAATTTTTTATTTTTTTATTTTTTTTTTGCTTCGATGGACTATAGAAGGTGCTGCGTAGATCAACCAAGTATATATACTCCCTTTTTTTTTTGTGCTATGCTGTCTGGTTCCCTGGATCAACTTTTGGCAATGTGTTTGCCTCTCTTGATATATACTTTTTTTTTTTCTTTCTTTTACTAACTTGCTGGGTGTCTGATGCAGGTATGGAGTACAGCGCAGATTCAGATGGTTCACTTATCCAACCAGGCAGGAATACTTCGTTCCAGTGTTTCTTTCTTTCGGGCTTAACAGGCCCTGTAGATGCTCAATATCATCCTTATACTGCCTGGTACCTGCTATCTGACGTGGCACATAGCCACTTCCCACATCGACTCTTGGTTCTTGATGACGCTACCCAGCCTGTCTATCAAGAGGGATAGGAGAGAGACGTACTCCTATTCGCAGAACACTGGACCACCTACTCTAGTGTGACCAGTTCCTGACACGTCACACTTGGGTCATCAGACTCTGACGGCTCAGACCTGACATCTATGACAACCCAGATCCAGACTTCGACTCCTGACCAGATCAGCAGCAGTCAACTTCAGAGGGTCAGAGAGAGAGAAGGTAGGGGACACACACATGCATGCAGGTTCAGGGAAAGGAGGTGCTTCTCTCTTCTTGAAGATGCCGCCGATGATGCTCCACGACGCTCCGCATGCTCCAGGTAAGTAGACTTTGCCACTTCTTCTTCGGCCTGCTTCCCCCACTATCAAACCCTTCTTCTCTTCCTCCCTCCTTCGCTATTCCTCCATCACCACTTCTTCTCGCCGGCCCTGATCAGACCAGCGCTATGAGAGTAGCGAGCATCTGCTCCGATACCAAAATTGCATGGGTCCTGGGGACCATCTCACGCAGATGTGTACATGTCATGCATCATCTTCACACGCAGTGATCAATAGTCTCAACCATGGACAAAGGTAGAGAAGAAGAGGACCGAGTCTCACAGCTTATATTATCAGAAATATGATTACAAAGTGTTTCAAAGTTCCCCTGAGTCCAGCGCTCATCAGCGCAACACAAATCTCTGCTCAACTCATCAATATGCCTTCCAAGGCATCAGCGCTACCCCTGCAGATTGTCTCCTAGTCATCAATATGGTCATAACTCATCAGCGCCAACTCTGCAGTTCACAACCAACTCAGGTAAGTGTCTCGCATAGCCAAACCTTGAATGAACACTCTTCGTCTCAATCTCTTCCTCCTACGATGCATGCACACACTGTTCTCACAAGGATCTACTCTGGATACTACTCATAGCTAAGTACTAGCCCTTCTGCTCTACTTACTAACTCGCTGGGCAGCTATGGCTGCATCCCTTCCAGCGCACAGTCTTCTTCTTCCCTCTTAGCGCATCTTCCTTCCTCCTGCGCTACTCCTACTGACTAACGCACAAGTGCACCAGCACTTCCACGCATTCAAGCCAGTGGAGATCTGGCGAGGAATGAGGCAGGCAGCTCCCTTTATAGTGCTGGCCACTCGTCGCGGGGTCTGCATTGGCTCAATTCGGCCTTTCCTTTGTCCCAAACCCTGCATTGCATGTGTCCCAGTAGAGTTCCAATGAAGTTCAACTGCTGCTGAGGCCTCTCGGCCTGTATTTGGACTTGAAAGTCTGGATCTGG